AAGACCCTCCATTAGCCAAAAGATGATGACTCGCTGAAAGGTCAGATGATGGTTAGCATTTTTCAGCAATAAAGTATTTTTGGTTAAGGTATGTATGTTGTTTTTTGGACCTAATGCAATTACATACTTAATAACGAGGATATAACTTTTATACACACTTGGGATCCAGAAAATTAATTTGACTTTATTGCAATACTCCCTTTGTCATAACAATCTGGAATTAAACCTGTAAGATCTCTAAGGTATGCCTGTGTTAAAAAAAAAAAAAAAGAAAAAAACCTGCTACATCTATGCTAAGGAATTTAGTTACTATCCTGAAAGCCAGTTTCCCAAACCTTAGTAATTTAAATATTATTTCCACAGTATGTGTTATATCCAGAGCCATGTTATATTATTTTTGCTCTCCCTGTAAACTACTCGTGCTATTATTTGTTTAACATTTTCCTCAAATGTCTTACTTTAAAACATACCTGTTTTCAAAAGAATCTTCACATCAGTATTGTAAATATAAAACCAATGTCAGGGGTGCCTGGGTGGATCATTCAGTTAAATGTCTGCCTTCGACTCAGGTCATGATCCTAGAGTCCCAGGATCGAGCCCCACATCAGGCTCCCTGCTCAGTGAGGAGTCTGCTTCTTCTTCTGCCCCTCAGCCTGCTTGTGCTCTCTCTCACTCGCTCTCTCTTAAATAAATAAATAAATAAAACCTTAAAAAAAACAACAATGTCACTTGCAGTCAATTCAAGGTCATCATTAAAATGAATGTGATGAAAATAAAACATTCCTGTTAAGTCTTTGCTCCTGAAAGCCTCCTAGCCTGAGGCCTGCAGTCTCATTATTTTAAAGGGAGATGGTAAGTTTGGGAGAGGAGTTAAATTCACTGTAGCACCAAACTGAGATTCCTTGAATGAGTTAGGTGGGAGAAAGAGAGTTGAACGGCATATGGCTCCCTTATTCTCTAAGTCAGGAGTATTCGGTATGGTTCCTGTGTGCCATCTTCGATACTGCAGGGATACGCATGCTACATAGGGGGAAATGTCATAGGCCATACAGGGCCACCTGAGGATTCTGAGCTAAGAAGTGACAAAATCAGACCTATGTGAAGAGGGATAACTCAGGACTAGAAAAGAAGACCAGAGAAGTAGCTAGAACTTTGTAGAGGATGTGCAAGGGTTCCCATGTGGTCCAGTCAGTATAATAAGGCTGGAAAAGAGGGACCAGATTTGAGAAAAATTTTCGATCAGGCCACAGCAGGAGTTAATGCCCGGTGGGATGAGAGATGCAGGTCAAGGAAAGAGAAGGACCAGCGATGCTCCGAAGGGAGTTTGCTTGGGAAACTGCATGAGTGGTCATATGACCCAGGCCAAGATTACAAAGAAGATATAGTAGAGCATGTGTGCTTGATGAGTCGGAGAAAGGGAGGGAGCAAGTAAGGGAAGGGAGGGGTAAGACCCCTGCTTTGGAGCATGCTGCCTGTGACAAGTATGCACCCATTCTAGGCTCACATTAAATGTTTGTTGAAGATACAGGCTAAGTGTGGAAGGTCAGCGGGCCGCTGGAAGCCACCTTGCTGGAGCTCAGAGACATTCCCAATGACATTTAGATTGGAAGAGATCACCGTGGCCTATAAGTCGGCCTCAAAAACACTTGCATTTACTTCATGACCATTTCAGAAAATTTGTGACATAATCAGGTAGACAGTTTTAAGGTATACTAGACATGTTTACTTTCGTAAGCTGTTAAAAATGAATCCATTCAACCAAAAAATCATTAAGAACCCATTTATATAAAGCAATTTGCTAAGTGCTGTGAGGGATAGAGAGATAAATTAGACACAGACCCTGTTCTCATAGAGCTTGTAAAGATCTAATAAGATAATAGATAAGATTTTCAGGGATTTAAAGCTTAACGTATGACGCCTTTATTCATGATTTCCAGAAAACAAATTTAGCCTCAAAATCTCTCTACTAACCATAGTCTGAACTTTGTTTTCATGTGTTATTAGAAATTGATGACGGTGTTTGGTAGAACAACAATATAAATGAAATTTGGGGTAGACTTACAGAATTGGAAGTTAAAACCTTGTCAATCGTTAGTAGCCCTTTTTCTTATGTTGTGCTTAAAATGCTCATTTTCCCAGCTTAGGAGAAATAATCTAAAGTTTTGTCTTATGTGTAGCATAAAATTGCCCTTCCCCTCAGATGAGTATATGTAGTAATAAATTGGAGCCTTCTTGTGAGACTCTCTTGAACAATCACATAACTGGGATTTTTTTTTTCCTGGTCAACAAGACACAGACTAGAAAGCATAGATTTAACTCTGAGCCTAAAAAAGAGTCAGAGATTTGAAGAAGAGGAAGGACAACAAGACTAATGTTGATGCCCCTTCTTCAGTTTCTAGACCCTTCTGTGGAAAGAAGTGTTTTCATAAGACTCAGACAGAATTCATTTCCATAGAGCATTCTTAATGGCTCCTGTCAGTAAAAACAGCTGGGAAACATATGGTATCCATTTCCCTGTATCACTTGGAAAAAATTTCACATGTAAATAAAGCCAACATAAAAGAGTAGCCCTTTGAACCCGTGACCTTATACAATACATAAATATATAGGTACAATGTACTCGTTGTATTGGTCCACTAAGTTATGTGACTTTAAAATTTTTTTATTACATCCTGAGATGCATATTTTCAAGAAGTTCCAAAGGAATCAAGGTAATTGGCAAAATATTAGCAAATACCATCCCTAATAATAAGCATGTATCTCTGAAATGTCATGGAGCACACACACACACACACACACACAATGTTGGCCACTGTATTTTAAGCTTTTCAGAAAAATTGATGGATAAAATTAAAGGCATATTTACGCATTATAAACTTTATGTCCGCTATCTCTCTGCCGTTTTAAATAAGTAACCACGTGTTCTTGAAAGGAAGAGAGGAAAACTTGGCAGAAATTTCTGGCAGACAATTTTTCATAGCTTCACATTTTTAGGGAAAAATGGACCTATAAAGGATAGGAAATCTTTTAAATTTATAATGGACCAACTGGAATTAGTCTTTGCCTTTGCATATTTACATTTCATAAATAACTTTAGAAAATCCAGCTCTCATTGGTGATTATCACTCCTCTGAGTTTATTAACAGGACTTTTGTCCCCTGTGATATTAAGCCGTAAATCCCTCAGAAGGATGCGCTTTGGGCATTTACAAGGAGATTTAATGCGTTGCGCAAAGTGAGATTCAAATTCATATACTAGCATTTGTTAATTGTCTGCTCTGTGCCAAGTACTGTGTACAGCTTAGAACCGAGCCAACAAAAGGGAAGAGAGGCAGCAGCTTAACAGCATCTAGATACCTTCCTTCCCTTCTGGAACATGCTTGTTAATACCTGTTCCTTACTGGACAGAATCCAGGCCTCCCTTCACAGTTCATGGTATTCTCTTCATAGATTTTAAAGGCCTCAGAACTAGACCACTTAGTGCAGACCCTCTGAGAAAGCCCATGGCAAACTGTGGTCTCTTTAGGGGGGAAAGACCCCACCCACCAGCAGTTACATAGCATTCAGTCTCAGAATAGTTACTCTCACCTCCTTAGCTCGCTTCCAGAACTTCTCTGAATCTTTTTAGAACACGTTGCAATGGGAACCAGATTGACCGGTGATCTAAATTTGGGGAACTTTTAATAACTTTCACCCCTAAAAGTAGTGGTAGCCGGGGACTGTCCTAGAAGTTACAGACCTGAATATACCCCATCTCTTTTATTCTTTGGTCGTGTCCAGTAGCAAAGAATGGACACAGCACATGCTTTTAGATTAAATTCTTCCTAGCTGTTGTCGTTCCCGAAGAGGAGAGTGGGATGGGAGGCCCCTGGATGGGGGCATGTCCTGAAACCTTCCCCCTTTGAAGGGGGATGGTATAAACGTAATTGGAAAGGGAAGAGTCCATACACCAGTGGCCTACAAGTTTCCAAAGGCGCCGGGTCATCTGTCTAGCCAGGGGAGTATCCCAGAGAGGAAGCAGGGTCATCATGAGGGAGGAGACTGTGGTTCCGTCATCCTGCGCCAGGAGAAGGCACAGGGTTGCCTTCCATGAGGCTAACCGGGAGAGATGGTGTTCTTATCTTTAACCTCCAGATGCATTGGTGTTTCACTCTACACTCCATCTCTACCAGACGCTCACTCAAAGGCAAGCCAGACAATCTTTATCTAAGCTTTGCAGAGAAAGGAGAAGAAAGAAAAAAAGCCCACCAACCTGTACATCTCGCTCTCCCTTTGCAACTCCTTCTCCTCCTGGCTGCTCCCAGCTTTGCCAACATTGGAGGGCCTCCTTGACTCTTACAACATGTTCTGTTGTGAAGTGTTAATACATGATGTTGCTGTGTCGTATGCCAGAGAGCACTGGGAAATGCCTCTGAGTGATGCTTCAGTGGGATACCCATCTGTGGTGGACAATCACCCAATGGGTCACAGTTTCAGTTTGCCCGATATTAAATAATTTACCCATTTTTTATGTGGGACTTCTTAAGCTTTAGGGGTATACATATCTGTATGTATGCGTGTGCACGTGTGCGTGCACGCGTGTGTGTGTGTGTGTACATCCCTTCTCTCCCCAAACTACTTTGGAAGTTCATTTAATCCAGAGAATCTGACCTCCCATTTCTGTTTTTCAAGGTGGTGACAAGTATCCTAATCCTTCCAAAGAGGTATAGCCGTCCAGGGGATGAACCTAAATATCTGTCTAGATCTGTTTGTTTGTTTTAGCTGTCTGCTTTTTCCATGAATACTTTTTTAATTTTGAGCCAACAGGCCATAACTTTTATCACTCACTGTTTTCCAGTGGTAAGTATGAACTGTTTGGTATATGATACACGTTCTGTCTAAGTCATCCCCTCAGACGGGCTTTCTTCGAGCATAACGTCAGTGGACTACGCCTGCCTGCGTGGCCAAGATACCTTTGGCATTTCAATGTAATACTCTCCTCTTGTATTTATTTCTAAACAGTTTCTAGCTCTAGCTGGAATTGCAACGTGTCGGCTCTCATGACAAACACGCAAAAGCCCACAGGAATCGCGGATGTATACAGTAAGTTCCGTCCTGTGAAGCGAGTTTCCCCACTGAAACATCAGCCAGAGACTCTGGAGAACAATGAAAGCGATGACCAGAAGAACCAGAAGGTGGAGTACCAGAAAGGGGGTGATTCCGACTCAGGCCCCCAGCCCGAGGAGCTCAGCCCTGGAGATGGAGACAGTGGTCCCCAAAGTAAGAGCACCGAGCCCAGCACCTTGCTAGGGGAGCTGGAGCATTATGACCTTGACATGGATGAGATTCTGGATGTGCCTTACATTAAATCCAGTCAACAGCTTGCCTCTTTCACCAAGGTGGCTCCAGAGAAGAGAATTTTGGGTTTGTGCACCACCATCAATGGCCTTTCTGGCAAAGCCTGCTCCCCCGGAAGTGCTGAGAGCTCACCAGCCAACATGACACCGTTCTGTGTTCTTTCGCCAGTGAAAAGCCCTCACTTGAGAAAAGCGTCCTCTGCTGTCCGCGAGCAGCAAAAGCTCTCCGGGGAAGAGTCTGAGAGCTCACCGCCTCTGGTGAAGTGTGGCTCTGCATATGAGCCCGAGACCCAGACTAAGGACTTCCTCATCAAGACCTTTAATGATCCTCCGAGTCGAAAACGCGAGAAGGCAATGCCAGACGGCCAGCTCAGGGCCTTCCATCCGCAGTCCGCAGCCACAGAACCCAAACTAGAAGAGCCGATCGGGGGTGTGAACTGGACCAGCTCCCAAGGCCCGGAAGAAAGGAGTGAGTATCTGAAAAAAGTGAAAAGCATCTTGAACATCGTTAAGGAAGGACAGATATCTCTCCTGGTAAGTATGATCTCATGCCATCATCTAGAGACTTCAGTTCTATCAGCTCCATTAGGAGTAACAGAATGATGAGCGTTTCTTCCCATTCTTGCTTCATCTTTACTCATAGCCTGAGTTAGATGATGTGCTTCTTGAATTTTAAAATACAAAATTAGGAGGTTAGTACGGGGAGAAAACAAATGGCTATAGAGGGAGTGTTAATCCACTTGAACTGTGCACAAATCTGTGCATGAATCTGACCATAATCTAAAACAAAAACAAAACAAAGTCCAGCCCTTGCTTTAATGTGAATCTGAATGTCTTTCTCTTCCCTGTTCAAATGGATCCCAGTGCTCTCACTTGGTTACTTGTGGGGTTGTTGGTCCCTTGATGGTAGGCCTGCCAGATACATGAACAGAGGGTCTTCTGTTTTATCCTGATCATTATTCAGAAGACTTGGACCAGGAAGTTTGAAAACATTTGCAGATAGAAGCTTACCCTAGAGCTTGGTTGCCCTCTGACCTCCATGGAGTTTTTACTGAGTTCCAGCACTGCGTGTCTAGGGAACATGAAGAAGCTTTCCAAAGATTCGAGTCACAGAGTTAACATGATGTAAGAAAAGTCTGTTCTGCTTAGGCTCAGAGAGAGCTCAACTGAAATCACACTCCATCTGCCTGCATTGTTCTTTCTGGCTTGCAGACTTGGATCAAACAGTAGCAAGCCTGGGCTGATACTATGATGTTAATTAAAGTCTCACTTGAGAAAAGCATCACAGCTTGGCAGTGTGATTCCACTTAGGGTAAAGCCATGCAGAGATAAGTACAATGTGCCTGGTCTATTGTCACAAATCTGACTGTTGTCATAGGATGATAGGATTGAACACTTTTCCAAAAAAGTAATAATTTTTTTTTCCCCTATAAATAGCTTTTCTATTTCTCCTGGCTCTTCCTCTCTTTTTCTCACTGGTTTATTCTTTTCTTCTGTCCATCCCATGTTTTCATGTTTCCCAGATGGTAACACCTCTTGACTCACCCAACAGTCTCTATCAACCATGTCATATGCAGGGAACTAAGCTTCACTAGAGGTGAGAACACTAAAGGCCAGGTATAGCCTCCAGGTGCCCCAGGACTCTATTTGGGGTGCAAGCGTCTGGAAAAATCCTGTGGTAGCTCTAGATGTGGCAGCCATCAGATAGCTTACGATCAAAGCCAGTTCTCTGTCGTTCAAGGCAAACCAGATGGTGGAGAGAAGTAGTTCTTTCATTCAACAAACCTACAACAGAGGATAAAACACAGTCTGGCTGTCAGCACTTAGCAGTCGAATGGAGGAGACAGAGAGGGAACCTGCCCATTACCATAAATGTCAGCGCAGTTGTTTAGAAAACCATCTTGGCGCCTCCACAAGCTCGCTGACCGAGCCCGGTCGCCATGTCTCCCGGGAAGTTAAGTCCCTTGAGGACTTAGGTTCTAAAGGATAGGATAGCAAAAACTGTAATGGAAAGTCATTAGCATTAATAGTAGGGAATTTCTGACTTATTAAATCCCCAGGATGGCCACCAGAGCTCCTGGAAACTCATCTCTTCTTCCCAGGGCCCACAGCGAAACCCCCATACCATCTCATTCTGATTCTTGACTTAAGTGTTCTAATCTTACCATCTGTACAGCCACACCTCGCTGCCGACAACCTAGACAAAATCCACGACGAAAATGGCAACAATCTCTTACATGTGGCCGCGTCGCAGGGACACGCCGAATGTCTGCAGCACCTCACCTCTTTGATGGGAGAAGATTGCCTCAGTGAGCGAAACGTAGAGAAGTTGACTCCAGCGGGCCTGGCCATCAAGGTGATGATGGGTTGGGGGCTGGACCCACCACAGCTAAAAGTTTCTGTTTTTGAAGATTCCTAGTGAGCTAAGCTGGAGAGATGAGTGCAGGGAGAGAGTAGCGTGATACACCAAGCAAATGGCACATGAGCAGACTACATTTAAGAGAGTAATCATTTTGGGTACTAACCGCTTTGAGCTTTGGCGACTACATTCCAATTTATTGTGCAATGAGGGTAAGCTTCAAGTCAGCTAATAAAGAGGAAGGAAAATGATCTATTGTGGTTCTCAGAACTTTTGTTATTCATGGTGACTGCACTTTAGATTTTAACCACACCTGGATTTATCTGAGACTATTTCATTTCTTCCTAATGTGAGTATAATGAGCGAGACAAATGAGGGAAAGGTGTATTTTAAGGACAGATAGCTCTCGGGAGTATTTTAGATAATAAAGCAGGCTTCTCATGGATCACATCTGAAGTGTAAATGTCTTTAGTACCAAGAGTTGTTTAGAATGTCAGGGCCTAGTTTTGAGTGTAGTGTCAACTGGGATAGAGTTAAAACTTAGAAATTGTGAGTCAAGGAAACATGGTCTTTTATAGCTCACTGCAGTGAGTGCCTCTGCAAAACATAACACATCACTAGAAGGTTAGCTATTAAACTACAATTACTTTTAAGATCTTTGGCAAATAAGTGTAGAATTCAGTCATATTTATGAAGAAGCCAGAAGTGAAGTTCAGGGAAATATAATACATCTTGTGCTTCTGCATATGTGCTCTGCTTTACATAATAGTTATGTCTTCTAAAAGCTGAATAATCATTTTTAGAAATGGAATTGTTTTTGAAATTTACTAGGGGAACTTGCTAGTTAAAGAGATCCACTTGTGTATTCACTGAAGAGCATGTTACATTTGAAAAACGAGTGAATGCTGGCCTACCTTAATATATCTTTTAGGCAAATCTGAATTTTTGCGTCTTTAATTTATTTACCATTCAGTGAACTTTTTTAAAAGATTTTATTTACTTATTTGAGAGAGAGAGAGAGAGAGAGAGAGAGCATGAGTGGGGGAGGGGCAGGGAAGAGGGAGAAGCAAATTCCCTGATGAGTAGGGAACCCGAAGGGGAGCTCAATCCCAGGACCCTGAGATCATGACCTGAGGTGAAGGCAGACACTTAACCAACTGAGCCACCTAGGCACCCTACCATTCAGTGAAGTTTTATGTATTAAAATTTGCTTTTTGTTTTATTTAATTTTATTCTATGATAATGTATTATTTCTAAGGTAGTATAGAAGAATCTTTTTTTAATAAAATAAGAGATCCAAGACCCTGGTAGATATTGCTTTCCTTTAATGAATGTTGCTACGTCACATTAGGAACTGAACTGCAAGCAGCCATCATGAAGAGAAATTAGATGGGAAGTTAAGGTGCAGCATAGTTGAGTTCAACGATGTGTACCAAGTCCACCAGGTACTGTGTGGTGACAGTACAAATTTGAATGAGACCTAGTCCCTTTTCCTCAGAAGCTGATAGCCAGGTAGATAGGGCAGGTAAGTTACCAGTACTTCAAGTGCAGGATGGCAAATTCAGGATCTAGTCCTATATCAGAGTCCTGTGGAAAGACAGGGGTCGGATCTGGTCATCAATGGGTGTGGGTCAGTGATGAATAAAATATTCTTGCAATGCCAATAAATGTTGACATTTGCCTTGCTCTTTTAGTGTTTATAAAATACAGTGCTCATTAGCTTTCCTAACTGATGTTAAATTATGGAGTATATCATAGCCACATAGTTGGATGAGAAAGCTTTTTCTTCATTTATATACCTTAGTGCTTGTTTCCGTGGATTAAGAATCTTCAGAGTAGGACAGTACATAAGAAACTTGGTGGTTATCAGGCCAACCCTGGCTATAAAACTCCTTCTGCGGTATCCATATTGGTAATTCATTCTTAAACTCCTCCAGTCAACGTACTGCTATCATATAATCAGCATGTAACCTTGAACTGCAGTGCTTTTTGTTTCTTTGTTTTAATGAAGAACGCATATCAAACCCACAAGACTCAAAAGCTCTTATGGATTTGGGGTCTCAGACCTTTCATATTTTTACTTCCAGACAATGATATGAGAAATGGAACTCTTCTTCTATTTCTTCATTTAATCTAGAATTTACAAAAGAAGTCAAAACAAATATTTTATAGTAAGTGCCACCCCCTTTGGGAATCTGGCCTCGGTCCATTCAGTGTCATTTGATAGACATTGGTGAAGTTGAGGGAGTTCTACTAAGTCATCCTTCTTCTGTTTTAGGACCTTGTTTTGAACACCAGCGACCAACTGATGGCATCTCACCTCATTAAGCATAGTTCTGAGAGCCCTGCTGTCATTAAAGACAACAAACTTGGTTCAAAGGAGCAGAAGTCACTGAGAGAATGTGACTCAGCTGACAGGAAAAACAGAGTCAGAGATAGGGTATCAAATAAAAAGATAAAAGATAACCTGAGAAAAGGGGCTTTGAAGGCTTAAGAACACCTCTCCCCTACCCTTAAACTCCTTAAATGGAACATAATAAATTCTTACCAGTTACATGCAGAACTTATTGAGAGTTTTCTGGGCAACCCAACACTAGATACTGTGGCAGTTCAGGGCATTACTGAGTGCCCTTTGGGAACAGTTAAGCAAAATAACTGAAAAGAAAGATTTCTATATGGTGAGAGCAGTGTGTTTCTAAAATGGGGCCAACATAATACATTGTTTTTGGAGTTAAGCAGACTTGGAGTGAAACAACCTTAGTTTCTTTTTTATTTCTCATTCAGTCCTTCTGATTAAGCTCAAAGATAACACATTGGTCTGATGAGAAAATGACTTCAAAGACATAACCTACTGACGTTCCTTTTTAACATCCAGTATGAGTGACCCCAGTTTCAGAGACTCCAGCAGGCAAAAATCTCCTGCTGAAATTTAATAACATTTTTTTTGTTTTCTTGGTATTTCTATTTATGGCAAGCAATGTTGTGTTCAAGATCATAGTAGCAATATATTTCCTTCTGCCTTTATAGCAGCATTTTATTATTTAATACATTTATTCAAATGTTACCTTCTTGAATAACTAGACCTAACAGATATCTAACAGAACATTCTACTCAACAAAAGCAGAATACACATTCTCCCCAAATACAGATGGAACATTCTCCAGAATAGACCATATGTTGGGCCACAGAACAGGTCTCAATAAATATGAAAGGAATGAAATCATACAGAGTATGTCCTTTAACCGTAAGGAAATGCAATTAGGAATCAGTAACAGAAGGAAATTAGGGATACAAGTATCTGGAATTAACACACGCCAAAATAATCATTTGTCAAAGAAGAAATTACAAGGGAAACTGGAAAATAAAATGCATTCTATTATCATTTAAGGATGCAGCTAAAGCAATGCAGAGAGGGAAATTTATAGCCATAAATGCCAGTATTAAAAAAAAGAGAAGGAGAGGCATCTGGGTGGCTCGTGTCACTTAAGCATCTGCCTTTGGCTCAGGTCATGATCCCAGGATCCTGGGATAGAGCCCCACGTTGGGCTCCCTGCTCAGCAAGGAGTCTGCTTTCCCCTCTCCCACTACCCCTCCCCCATGCTTGTGTGCTTTCTCTCTCTCAAATAAGTAGAAAAAATCTTTTTTTTAAAAAAAAGGGGGGAAAGAAAGATCTAAAGTTAATAGCTTAATCTTCTACCTTAAGAAACTTGAAAAAGAATAGCACACTACATTCAAAGCAAGCAGAAGAGAAGAAATTCAAATATTCAGGCAGAAATAAATGCAATAGAGAACAGAGAAAAAGAAATATAGAAAGTCAACAAAACCACATCTGTTTCTATGAAAAGATGGAAGAAATTAGTAAACTTTTAGTTAGATGGACCAAGAAAAAAAGAGAAAAGACTCAAATCATTAAAATCAGAAATGTTGCCTCTTCTCTGTGTTCTGTGTAAATGCCAGTTGATATGAACTCTCTTCCCTAGTAGATGCTCACTATGGTTCCTATTCCTTTTTTTAATTCAGAGGGAATAAAGCATGTAGTATCAGTGGTTTTATTTTAATCCTGGTAGGAAACAGTTGGCATGCTCAAATTATGCAATTTGAAGAACGTCTATAATGAAGGATTCATGTACAAAAGGGTGATGGGTGGGGTGTAGGGAGCCCAAGAAGAAAAGTACAGCATCCTGGGGATAAGAGCAGAGCACTGTTACCACCTGAGAGCCTGAAGGGGCTGGGGAGAGGCACAAGCTAGAGATGGCCGAACGGAAGAACTGGCTGATCTCTGACCTTTGCCTGGTGGAGGGACACAGCAGCCAACGGTAACCCCATGCGAGTTGGGAAAGCCAGGAAAAGAGGGAACCTCAAACTCACTCTCCTTTCCTGGTGTCCTGCCAACACTCTCCATCAGCCAAACCCAGGGGGCAAGGGAGCCAGCCCATACAGACCTCCCTCTCCTGGCAGCAATGACTGCAGAGGAAGGAGGAGACAGATCTGAGGTGGCACCTGGAAGCTATTCACCACCCACCTGATCTGGCTAGATTCCCCCAGTGGAAAGATAGTCTCTGCCTGTGAGCAGTTGAGAGTTGACTACTTGAAATCCCACTATCCAAATAGGTGTAGATGGAAAAGGAATAGATTACCTCCTCTATCTTGTGTCTAGAATAAGCTTCCCGGACTCCATGGCATGGTAGCTCTTTTCTCCTGGGCTAAGGCCCCACACTGGGCAAACCAGGAAGGCAGCTGAATGTCTCATTTGTGTCGTAGAGGAGCTGGGAGAGTGCACTACTAGTAAAAGGTAACAAGTGTTGTGTGCTGAGTAAGCTCAGACGCTTTGTCTCATCTGCTGCTCATAGTAACTTTATGAGGCAGTTAGTGCTATCCCTGCCATTTCACAGATGAGAAAACTGAGTATCAGAGAGGGAAGCAACTTGTTCAAGGTCTTGTAACTAAATAGTGGATTAAGGATTTAAATCCTTTCCAAAGTCTGGGTCCTAATAACTAGGTTATACATTTCACAGCTGCCTTCCTGGTTTGTACAGTGTGGGATCTCAGCACAGGAGGAAAAAGCCAGTGTGGGGATGGAGTCACCAAAGGCTTCAGGGAATGTAGCATTTGAGCCAGTAGAATAATAAGGTTATTTTCTCTTTCTTTATTTTGGAATCCTACCATTTCAAATTCTCAAAGGTAAAAGCCTATTCTAAGAGCTAATGAATAAATAAATGTTGGTATATTCATACACTGGAATACTTGTCATCAGTAAAAAAGAAAAAACCTTTCATACAAGCAGAAGCTTGGATGAGTCTTAGAGGCATGAATGCCGAGGGACAAAAGTGAGACACAGAAGACTGTGTCCTCTATCCTCTTGTGATAGAAATCCTATCAGTGGTTGCCTGGGGCAAAGGTGAAGACCTCTGGAGACCAGAGGAATCCTAAAGATTTTGGGGAAAGGGGGGAATGGAAATGTTCTCCATCTTGATGGGAGCAGTAGTTACAAGAGAGTATATATTTGTCAAAATTCATCCAACTATGTGCTTACAAAGGGTAGAGTATATTTTATAGTATGCAAATTATACCTCAATAAAGTCATTTTAAACTAACTGATTACAATTATGAAAATGCATTTCAGTAAAAATTCCCCATCTGATTTTGAGCCAAAAGCACAGACCAGAGACAAAATAGGTGATAGACTGCAAATAAATGAAGCCAAATAACAAGAACCAAAATTCACGTGATTTCTTCCCTTGGCAAAATTACCATCTATGAGGTATTTTTCAAATTTGAGTGACCTTGAATTTCTTTCTTTCTTCTTTTTTCCAATCTAGAATGGTCAGTTGGAGTGTGTCCGTTGGATGGTGAGTGAAACCGAAGCCATCGCAGAGCTGAGTTGTTCTAAGGATTTCCCAAGCCTTATTCATTATGCAGGTTGCTTTGGCCAGGTAGGAAGAACTTTTAATGATCGGGTTTATAAGCCATCATTTCCTTGTAGTATTTTTTTAATGAAAAACATGTTTAAACAACCTAAATATTCCCTAATAAGATATTGGCTAAATAACAAAACTATATACCTATAGTGGAATTTTATGGGAAAACATAGTCATTATATAATACTAAAATGCATGATACAAAACCATTCATATTAATTTGGTACCAACTTTGAATTCTGGAGAGAGAAGAAGAGAAGTAGGTCATAAGACTCGGGGAAAAAAAAAAACTGTGTCACCACATGTTCATAGGAGTTATCACCCAGGGTGGAATTAGAATGGCTTTTATCTTCTTTCGTATATTTTTCAGTATTTTCCAAATTTTCCACAATAAATGCGTTTAACTTTTGTCAAAAGGGAAAGTGACAAACTTTCTTGTACCCAGCATTAAAAGGAAAATCTTCAGTAAGATTTTCTTCAGTAAGATTAAGTAAAATCTTATTTAATTAATTAATTAAGTTAATTAAATTAAACTAAAATTAATTCAGTAAAATCTTCAGTAAGATTAATTAAGGAAGTCTCTCTCTATTAAAGATGAGCAAACACACTAACTGGATGAGTCTCAGTTACAACCAGTTCCTACATTAGGAAATCCCTGTGAGAGTAATTGAAGTTCACAGATCACAATCCAGGGTATGGAGTAAAAAAAATCCTCAGTAACTCCCTTTGAGAAGGATAAGTATAAATTATATATTTTTTTTAAATTGGAACCACAAAATGCCAATCTCAGTCTTAAAAAAAATAAATAAAGTCAGCACTGTATTAAAATAGATTTAATCATATTTGTTTGTGGCAAAGAAAATTGCTTCTCATGCATATAACCATATCCCCTTTGGCTTCATAAACTTTCCCAGTGGCAGTAAATTGTGGTATTGTCAACAAGAGATTATGCTTTTTCGAGCATGACAATCTCAAGTTCAAAAAAGACCCGTGGAGAGTATTACTACAGTCTTTCTTTAGTGGGAGTCCATGTTAGGTGATAGCTTATTTTGTGCCATGGTAACTTCGGTTTATATATATATAAATATGTAATATGTATTAATATTATATTCGTGTGTAATATATGTATAATATGTAATATGTTGCATTAATGGGTGATATTAATATATAATATAATTACATATTAATTATAGTTACCATGTTATTATATTAATAATTATAGTCACATTAATATGTAATATTTCCTTTATGTGCCAGGCACCAGGCCATTGGATTTTGCATACATTATCTGACCTATTCTTTAGAACAACCTGTTGGATCCTATTGACTTATTCCTTAGAACAACCCTCTTGGATCCTATTACCCATTCTGTAGACGAGAGTGAAGAAAGAAATTTAAGTGACTTACACATGTTCCAGTGCCTAGTTAAAGCAATGATTGCGTTTCAGCTCAGACCCTGTGACTTCAGGATCAGATCCTGTCTTGTGTCCGCCTCTGTAGATAATTTGTATAGCCTGTTTATAGCAGCATTGATCTAGCCGAGGAAGGCTTTTTTTTTACAATTTTAGCTAACAACACACTGTGATACACAGCTCATTGAAGAAGGGAGTATCTGGTACTAAATTTATGAGATGAAGAAAGGAGCAGGAAGAACATTTAAAATTTGTCAAAGCCACCGTCTTTGAAATAATCACTCCGTTTTCTCTGTGTACTGTCCTTGCGAGCCCTAGCCACAGTTTCCTACCGACAACCATAATAGTTAATAAGCATTTGCGAAGGATGCCCTTTTTTTGCTTACACTGGCAAAGGGGAGAATAGAATTTCCGAATGACCAGAAGAATGTCATCACTGATAATCTTCATAAATCAGTTGCAGTCTAAAACAGAATGTTATTTATTCCCGAACTGTCTGAATAATTGTCTCATGTCCCTGGCTTCATTTTGCTTATCCTCATTCCTCACGAGGAATTTTCGATACCAGTGGAAAGGCTAACTGCACTTTTGGTAGAGCTTGCCGAAGAAAAGGAGGAGAGGATTGCATTGCCCTTCTGAGCCTCTAAGGAAACAGTTGGGCCCCCGGGCCTTCTTTGTCTCTTTGCTTAAAGTGTGCTAGTTTCTCTGTTCAGCTCTCACAGTGGGTTTCTCATAATTGTGAAGCATTGGGACAGAACCAGAGTAAAGTGCCCTTTCTGGAACTGGTTGGGTGATGGCGTGGCTTGCTTGACGGGACTCGAGGAAAACCCTGAAATGGATGACCTAGTCGAAGAGCCATGTCAGACATTTGCCTCATGCCAGTTATCAGTCTCCAGGTTGTTATTTCAAGCTGACAAGCATTGTTAATGACCTCGAGGCCAGCTGTGAGCAGGGCCAGCCCAGCGGCACCCATAGGAGAGCATTCCTACCCAAGTGGAAAGCGTAGAAGCCCTTCCGAACTGTGAATTCTCTTCTGTCCAGCCATCCTGCATCGGCTGCAGGCACTTACGTAGCAGATAACCTGTGGCGATGCTGAACTTGGAACCAGGACAAGGCTAATATTTTCACAAGGAAGACTGTTACCGAACAGTTTTCTAATGGATTCAGCACATGCAAGTTTTTCCTCCATCAGGCAGGCACTCTAGTGTGCTCTGGTTTTGTTTCTTGAGTAAATACCTCTGGAAAGGATAGTGCTGAGCAAAAGTCCTCTCTCGGTTTATTTTCGTTGCCCTCTGCCCCCATATAGATTCTTAAAGAACGGGCTTTCTTTGACTCCCAATTTGTGTCCCTTTCCTTGTAAAAATTACCTTAAAGACTCCGGTACCGCAGGGCAGCCTGCAGTTTTTAGTGGTCTCCTGGAGTGATAGCTCTTCGGGTGATAGGAATTGATTTTCCTCACCGTGACACATGAAGTCTCAGAGGGTGCAATTACTTCATGGCCTGAGTGTCCCGAGCAGAGCTCACCGCAGGGAGCGCCAAGGCGAGAGCCATGGGGGCGGGGGGGGGACTCAAGGATAAAGCAGGGATGTCCTCCAGTCGGCTCGCTTTGCTGGCCCGTGAGAGAGATGTTGCTGGCGCAACAATGGAGACAGACTTGTCTCCAGTCAGAGCCAACTGCGGTGGGACTCGGGCTGTTTTCTTTCAATACAAAGGTTCCGACGGTCTCGTCCCCTCTCCCAGCAAAGCTGTCGCCCTCAGCTGCTCAGGGGGGCTTCGGCCTGTTCCACGCTGGACATCGGTTCAGTGGGCTCTGTGTTACTTTCAGCATCAAACCTGGTGATCGTTTTGCTCCCGAATCTTCCCTGTGACTCTTGGTAGGGAGATCCTGCTACAGAAACAACCTCCATCGTAGCATTCGGCATATACCAAGAACACCTTTGCCTATACTGTGTGCATTCTCCCATTTTAAATGTTTGCCCTAACACAGATCCAAAAAAACAAAAAACAAAAAGGGGGGGGGGGCAGACACTTTTTGAAAAAAAGGAAAGACTCAGCAGTTCCTACAAATGGTCACGAACAGTGACGGGCAGGCTAGCAAGAGGGATACTTCCTTCCACAGGCTGTGTGTTACTGTTTTTCCACGATTCAAAAGGCAGAATATTCTGTTGACTTCACTGTTTCACCGTCATGGGGTAGAAATAAGCAAACAACCCGGAAAGTGCTGGGATTGCAGATGAAAGCAAAATAGAAAAACCTTTGATTAGCTTGGGCATCCATCTGCTCTCCGAGGACAGCTCTTTAAAACAGCCTAAGCGTCACTGAGCTCTGCGAACCCACAGACTGAGGGGCTGTTAACCATGCTTTCTGTGACCCAAGAGTGGTCACCGTGCAAAATGAGTGTGTCATTTACGGAATCAAGGGTCACAGGTCAGTGAGTGATTGCGGACATTCATACTGAGTAGACAGAAAGGAGAGACCCGGAGAACATGGACTCTGTGTCTGGGTCTAAATCCGAGCCCTACCACTTACTAGCTCGGTGGCCTTGGAGACATTTTTTTTTTTTTTTTTTTTTAAAGATCTCTCTGGACCTCGGTTTCCTCATCTCTAATATGGAGATAAAAGAACCTACTTCACCAGGCAGCTCTGGGGATTAAGTGGAAAAAAGCCACATGAAGCATTGCCTGTTGCTGGCACGTAGTAGACATAAATATTGGTTCTTTGGATTATTGGATGTCTCCCAATTTCCTATTTTTATTGATATCAGTATTGTTCAATTTACTTATTTCACCATAAGTAAAGCATTAGGGAAACTTGGAAAAAAAATATTTAGGCCTTAACCTATTGAAGACATCCTTGGATATACTTTTCTTTTCATACTTTACTATCTCTGGATTCTACATTTATCTTATAATAAAGGACACCATGAAATTATGGCTGGCCACTTTCTTACACTTTACCATCTCAAAAACCAGACTGAATCATAAAATTGATGGTGTATTAGATTTGATGATATATGATTGCAGAAAAAGCTGCCTCCTTTAGAACTTAACGGTTGTAATGAAAACTGTAGAGATTTTATTGATGCCAGTAATAAACCTGTGCACCCTTTTCCATTACATTTTTTATTAGACTTTGTCCAGAAAATCTTGTGAATTACATGTATTAATCGCCTCATTAAACAGATTACATTGCCTTTAAGAACACACAAAATACACCAATAAAGCAGGTTCCCCAAAGAGCAGAAAATCCCCAGAAGAGGAAACCAGGACATGAAGGAAGTTTTTAGTCAAAAGATGAAAATTGAATGTACTGATGAGTGTGTGGGTGGATGGGTAGAATGTTAAGTTGGAAAGGCATTCTGTAAAACAGAAATAAGAGAGAAGGGCCTCTCCATCCACATGACTGCATCAGATGTAACATCTGAAAGCAATGCTTAGGGAAAATGAAAATCAGAAATTACATTTTGCTTTGAACATCGCCGTGACGCATGCGCACATGCACGCACAGAAGGAGAGCGCTGAATGTCTAAGGAGGGAGGTAGACCTCACTGCATGTATATTTAATACACATATGCATTCATAAGGCTCTTCTTGGTTGGAGAAGATAGTTATATTTGTTCTCCTTACTAGATATTTCTCAGATAAGTCGCTGTTTGAATTTTTGGACCGTCGGTTTCTGCTGGCATGTTCTCCAGAATCAGAGCAGAAAGCAGCATTTCTCTGAGAGTGGATGCTAAATATGCTCTTACCAGAACCCAGGAATTCAAGATCTTTTGTTTCCGTGAAGTTTATCAGTGAACAGGCTGATTACGTCACTTCTTACTAAAGTAAATTGCCCACTGCAGAACGCAAAACTGAATTTGAGGTGCTGGGCAAAGACATGCCTGTTCTGAACAGTAGAATAATGGTTTTACTTTATGTAAGTCTTGCATATTGAATTGGGTAAGATCTTTAATTATCAGGAAGAGTTTTTCACGCCATCAGAAGAAAAAAAGGCAGGTTATTGAACAATCCGGGCTAAACCTGACTTGGAAGACCATTGGGAGCCAAGGCAGCTCTTGGCCTCATACAGACCCTGGCCTGTTTGCCCAGATTTTCAAGCCCCTGCAAAGTCCAGGTCTCTAGGTTCTTCTCCATATTTCGACAAGGGGAAAATTCCTAGTCTTACGAAAGGCAGTATTCCATTTTCTACAACCCTGTTATTAAAAGTCAAAACAATGTGAATGATAGTAAAGGGCATTTTCGGTCCAGATAGAACAGCATTATCCACTATACTATTAATTTGAGTCTGAAAAATATGAGAATATGCCTGACAAGCAGGTTCATGTAGAATATTCCTAACTATCTTGCATTCCTTTGAACTTGACTTGCTGAAGAATAGAGCTGCTAGAATATCAGAGAATATATACCTGTCTTCTTTGGCTTTCTGACATGTAAAGCAAGGGTGTTTGAATTGGATAATTCCCTGAAGTCTCTCCCACTCTGCAATTTCAAGATTCTGTGATTTATATCAGAGCAAGCCAAGTCACCACATGCTTGAGAATGAGCCACTGAGGTGGCAGGACTGTCCTTGTCACTCATTGTGTCATGGCGACCTGCCCTCTTGCTGTTTCCAGATCTTCGCCATTGACTTCAATGGTTATGTTTTTTATCCTAAGATATGTCCACTCACCCAGATCTTTTAAGGAGTTAAGATCCCATGGTAGAATCATCTGGCTCCAAGTCAGAGTCATACCATTTTTCCCCTTCCTAATTAGGAAAAATAAAGAAAGTTGTTCTACCTTGTGCATAGGAAACATCACCACCCACTCTGGTCCAAGTATCAGCCCCAACTTTCTCCAAGTTTGCCTCAGAAGAAGAGGACAAGCACGTCAGCATACCCTGATCCAGAGTCTCATTCCCAGCCCTGGCCTCCAGGCTCTGCTCCACCTCATTCTCCAGGGACCTTGAGGGTTTCATGTTCTTCAGGGTCTGTCTGCTTTTGCAGCTGACACTCACCCTGCGTTCCCTGGGTGCCTTCTTGATAGGTGATAGGCATTGATTACATGTTTCCCTTCTTGTTCTTTGGGGGTCTTACTCCCTGCTTGCTCACATGGGAAGAATGTGGTGCAAATGTTCATTCTGTCCCTGATGTTGCCAATGCCTTCATAAACAGTGCCCTGCTCCCCCGACGAGGGGTGAACCATGAAAGGAGTTGGCTGTTTTTATCCAACATTCTTTTAGCAGATTAGTTGGCATGTTCAGAAGGTGAAGGCAAATTTAATCCAGAAAAGTATAAAAGTTCATGACCAGTCCGAGCAAGTAACTGGAAAAAAAGAGAAACCTTTAAAAGGCTAAGGAGAGGTTCAAGGCTATTTCAAACACATGATCGTCTTTTTAAATGTCAAATTCCACTCACTAAACTTCATGCTGTTGTTTTTACCACTCTCATGTTTTTTTAACATTATATTTAATTCATCTATTTTAAAACAGTGAAATCCCATCCCCCTGCTTTCTCCTGAGGCCAAACATAACATGAAAATACCACAAAATACTCAGTGGGTAAAAGGCAAACGGATTTTGACAACACGCTGAGCACACTATGTCTTTGCTTTTGAAAGGTTGCCTTCAGAGCGTCGGGCACCCTCCATTTAACAGGGAATAAGGGAAGCCTTTACCTTTAAAACCCCACCAACAACTGGTCAGAAAAATCATGAGGGTCCTCGTTTTCTCTCGGTGAGGTTATCTCATACTGAGCCACTTAAGCTCTTGCTTCTCTCTGTCAGCCTATTGAGTGCAGTAGGTCTGGGATCACGAAGGCATGGTCGAAGCATTATCAACTTCAAAGGAGAAGCTGGTTCTCTTAATGCCTGAGGTTTTATAATAATATTCCTGCACTCTAAAGATAGTAGAACAAAGTAGCGAAAACATTGCCTTGTCATCGAAAGACTTAGATTCTGGTCCCCGCTTTCGATCTGTTTAGCTGTGTCACTTTGAGGAAGTACTCAAACGTTCTACTTTTACATCTATGGGATAACTAACACGAGAGCATTTCTGACATAACTCCCTGCTCTTAAAATTCTCTGAGCGTTCCTCTTTCGTGGACTTTGAGTCAGAGAGATCCATGGATTTTCAGTTCAGAAGGAAGGGTATTTTCTGCTGATACGATAAACCTGGTTGTATGTAAGCTTCCCACGTCAGAGTTTTGTTTCCCTCTGTCTTTATTTCAGACTTGCTGCATAATATTCCATTAATTGCAACTGTCTTTGTGTTGATAGGAAAAAATTCTTCTTTGGCTTCTTCAGTTTATGCAAGAACAGGGCATCTCCCTGGATGAAGTGGACCAAGATGGGAACAGTGCTGTCCACGTAGCCTCCCAGCACGGCTTCCTCGGGTGCATCCAGGTACACAGGCCCTGTTGCTTTGAGGAGACAAATGAGTTTATAAGGAATGAAACCAAAAAGATGGAAATTTTGTGTCCTGAAAGACGTGTGTGGATTAAGTCAGCTTTTTCTGCTGTAGTAGATTGTAAGGAATTAAGTTGATATATTCGCATTTCCAGAAACCCACAGAAATGTCATCATAAGGAGCCCTACGAGTTTCTCGTTGAGTGTTGCAGGATGTCGGAAGGGACTGCAGATGGAGGGCTGTGGGCTGCCCCCCTTTCTCTGGGGCAGGGCAGAGCTTCTAGAATGCCTTCAGAAAGCCCCAGAACTGGTTACAGGGAGGCCTCACGTATTACCGTTGCTCCCCTCGGCCCACAGGCAGGCGAGGCAGGGTGGCCAGCCTGTCCAGCCGACAGCCTCAGGTGCCTCCTTGTAGTCCTACCTGCCTCACAGGTGTTACCATGGTCTGGGTGTGCAAGGGTGTGGGGTTGGGGAGCACAGCCACAGGAGAGGGGGGCGGGTTCTGCCCCCTGCCACCAGCCGCCTGAGAGAGTATCCGCATGCAGCTTAGATCATGTGGAGTTCCCGCAAGAAGAGTCGGAATCTCTCCCCTCCACCAAGTGCTTTGGCGCACGAAGCTGAACCAAACCCAGAGCCGCCGTCATAATAGCACGTGGCTGAAAGCCCAGGGAGGGTCCTCAGGAGTTTGAGGCACGTGTGAATATGAAAAGCAGATAGATGCTTGACTTAAAAAAAAAAAAAAATGTGAAGGCCCTGAATGACAAAGCAAAGAGAGAAGGTGACCAACAAGAAGGAGGAGGAGCAAGAAGAGTGACCGTGTGCGGGAAGGAAAGGGTCTATTTAGATTTAGCCTGGAATTTGATTTATGAATGCAGCATTACCAGCGTCAGACCAGTCACACCATTGTTATCGTGGAAAATGACCCAGCATCTGTGGATGTGTTCCCACATCTGCCTGAGGTGTAGGAAAGCCCTTTCCTGACTGACCGCATACAGCTGAAGGCCATGAGAAAAGAAACTGCTTTTCACCTCACTGAGCCCATGCAGTTCAGATAAGAAAGCAGCATTTTTTCTTGCCTTTACTGTATGTTGTTTCTTGTATTACAACGCGGCGTGCTGATTTAACAGGCACTTACTGACGTCCTACTGTGCGCAGGCTAGACTGTATCCAAAAAAGAAACTCGGGCAGTGAGAACCGGTGGTTTAGGAAGGTAGACGAGACTCTGAAAGTGACAGGAGAGGATCTGGAAAAGCTGTCGGCGTGAAAGGCAAGAGACTAATAAAAGCAAAAGGCAAAGGTAACAGCAGAACGTTCTCTAGGGCTTTTGCCCTTTGGAGAACGAAGGGATGGGAAATATTCCACGTGTCTGGATAAACGTTTCCCCACTAATGTTGGCAACGTGTGCATCTTCTCATTTAAGGCACCACGTTGTAAAAGCAGTGATGAGAACCCAGAGCCGAGAAAAGAGAGAAACTTAAATCATTACCAGGATCTACGGAAGATGAAAGGAGTAGCATGACTTTTTGTGGAGGAAAAGTAATTGAACATAACCGAAGACTTCACTTTTTTTTCCATTTTAACAAAACGCTCTAATATTTATTAGTCTTGAACTTTTTTTTTTATCAGCTAATAAGTGACTGAAAGCCAAAGAAAACCAGCTGATAGCACTAATTCTGTTTGAGATTTCAGTCATTTTTCTTTTATATGCAAAGAGAGGCTGTGTGTGCTTTCGGGCCGTTCATCTCTCCACTTAACACAAATGATATTTTTGGCACTAGATATCGTGGCTGTGGAAACTTGGATAATCTTGGAAGCGGGTCTATCCACTGGGTGTGAGATTTAAAAGAACAAAAGAAAAGAAAAGACACAGAGAGACTCAGAGTAGAACAGGAGGTGAGCAAAGGCCCTTTTGAGGGGCGGCAGAAACTGAGTCTAGGAAACCCTGGGAGGGAAATGGCGGAGGCCAGAGTCAAGGGAGTGAGATCAGTGAGTGTTGACAGGGACATCCTGGGCAGGCTGTTGTGACCTCTGAGTTTAAGCAATCTAGGAACTTAAAAATCCTAAGTGTTACTTTTGGGAACAATAGTAGTACCTTTTGCTCATATAAACCCAGAGGTCCAGTCTCATCTTGATAGTGTCAAAGGATGTGTCAGATTGTGGCAGCTGATTAATATTGACGTAACAGCTTTCTGTGGCATCTCATGTCACCACAGCATAGATAGAAAAGAATTTTGATTTTTTTTTTTTTTTTTTTTTAATTAGCGATGTCAACCATGGTCCATCAAGTCTCTCTTCCTTACTAACGATGCCTTGGTCAGATTCCGTAACTTTGTGCTTGCTTGTGCCTTAACATTGACTCCAAACCAGTTTAAAATCTTGGTGTTACTTCTGAATCAAAGTGTTCTCCTCTCCACCCCAGAGACTCGGGCTTCAAGGGACCGAGCCATAATTGGCTTTGTACACCTCACCTTGACTCCTGTTCCCCTCGCTCTGCTGGGCTCAGTGTTGGAGACAAGGAGGAGGGAGGAGAGAAAAGTTACCCGTCTCTTTGCTTAACTGGCAGAGGTCATGGCACTCTCCCTGAAAGCTGTCATTCCTTCTCTGGCTCACTGTGGTGGGCCACCGGTGTCCTCTGTGGCAGCCTTCAGGTGCTGACCCTCTGTTGGGCCTGATGGGTGAGGTCTTCACAGGACTCTCTGGAGCCTCCCCACTGACACCTGACCTGGGAGATCTGGCCCCCACTTCACGCCCTCCTCCATACAGTCCCCTCCGCCTGTGTCACACCCCCTGCTCTTTCTGCCGGGAACCCGCTCCTTCCGTAGTGGGGTGATAGCAAGCTCACCCCAAGCCCCCTTCTACGACGTCTCCTCAATCCCTGGGTCATAGCCTTGCCAGACACATGGTGGGAAGTGTGGGCTGCCCCGCACACAGCCCCTGCAGGTCATTTCTCTCCAGTGCTTTTTATATCTGATGGGGTAGGCTCAGCAATAGACCACATATGCTTCCCAAGCAAATAGGAACAGGTAAACAAAACCCCACTCTCTCCTTGCAGGCGTCCCCAACTTTCTGGGCCCACCCACTGAAAGGAACAAAGCAGCTCACCCAGGAGACAGCCCCCTCAGGACAGTAGCAGGGTCTGCCCCTCACAGCCGGCTCCTCCAAAGCTGGGTGGGATGGTAGCCCTGGGACGGGATCTGTTGCATGTGTGAAGGCTCCGAGGGAAGTATCTGATACCAACCCCCTCAAAGCCACCAGAGGCTCTCTTTTGTATGTGATGATACCCTTCGCCCCCCTCCCCACCCTGCCATGGGCTCTGGTAACTGGTATTGGACTAGCAGGAAAAGTTCCATTCACCTTTCTCTTCCCGTCATTCCAAAGTCGCCAGGGAGGTCTTGTAACGATCCCATGCCTCTGCACGTTCCCACAGACATTGGTGGAATACGGAGCAAACGTTACCATGCAGAACCATGCGGGGGAAAAGCCGTCCCAGAGCGCCGAGCGCCACGGGCACACGCTGTGCTCCCGGTACCTGGTGGTGGTGGAGACCTGCATGTCGCTGGCCTCCCAGGTGGTGAAGCTAACCAAGCAGCTGAAGGAGTAAGTGGAAGTCCCTGCGAACCAAGTCGGTCTGGTCCTCACTTGGCTCAGGTTCGAGCCCGGTGCCGGTAGTCTGGAGAATTCCTAGCCTTCTGCCCATCTCCTTTTCCTCTTCCACCCCAAGTCCTGCCAGCCGGCATCCACGCAATGGGTGCCATCTGCGCAGAGGAAGGAGGATGCTTCCACAAGCAGACAGTGCAGAGCCAACTCCGTGCGCAGGGAATGTGAGGCACATCGGATGAGAGACAGCCTCTCTCCGTGTGTGCGGTTCACGGCCCGATGACTTAGGTACACACACGCATCATCCCCAAACTTCTGTCCTTTACATTCTAGGAAATCATAAAAAGCCTGAGAGAGAAGAAGAAAAAACAAAAAACTAGACATGGGCCAGTTTCTCAGGTTTTCAAACAAAAAATGTGTATTTGGGGGATTACAGACAGGCCGTCTGACAACAGTCACCAATGTTAAGATTTACAGAAATGAAGCCGACGATTCATGAGTCCTCGGAATGGAAAATAGCATTCAGACAGCGTGATGTTACTTAAAACCTTCTTGGTCTAGTTGGAGTCAGTTCTGTTCTTGATGAGATTATCAAACTGGTAGCCATTGCCTATCAGGAGCTGTCAGGGAGCATTTCTGGGAGGTTGTCATGATATGCCTGATGTCGGGGGGGATAGAGGAGAAGTCATCAGGTAGGTCTCTAGCAGTCCGAAGAATCGAGCCGACACCACCTGAGAGGACTAAGGTCAGCCCTTGGCAAACACACCAGTCAAAGTACAGTTGCATATTGGAGAGGGATTCACTGAAAATCCCAATTGGTATTCAAAGTCATGTTGACCGATTAAGAGGATAAACCCGAAAAAATTAAATTTTAGAAGCAAAATAGGGGGTGTCTTAAATTATTTTTAAAAATACTCTGGGGGCGCCTGGGTGGCTCAGTCGTTAAGCATCTGCCTTTGGCTCAGGTTATGGTCACAGGGTCCTGGGATCGGGCCCCGCTTTGAACTCCCTGCTCTGCGGGAAGCCTGCTTCTCCCTCTCCCACTCCCCCTGCTGTCTTCTCTCTCTCGCTGTGTCTCTCTCTGTCAAATAAATAAATAAAATCTTTTAAAAAAATACTCTTTTGGGGGCACCTGGGTGGCTCAGTCGGTTAAGCATCTGCCTTCAGCTCAGGTCATGATCCCAGGGTTCTGGGATGGAGCCCCAGGTTGGGCTCCCTGCTCAGCGGGGAGTCTGATTCTCCCTCTACCACTCCCCCCTGCTCATGATCTCTCTCACGCTCTTTCTCTCTCAAATAAATAAATAAAATCTTAAAAAATAAAAAATACTTTTTTTCCTTTTGAAAAGAGACCTACGATGGCTGGGAGGCCTTCGCTGATCATGCGACACTATGACAAGCCCTTAGACCCTCGGGCTCTTCTCTAAGCTGGGAGAAACCTTCATCTGTCCACTTCCACCCTCTCGCCCCAGAGACCAGGGCTCTGTCCCCTCCCGCCCTCCCCCTACTAGAGTACGCACTTCAGTGAGTTGATTAGGATTTTACTAGACACAAATAAGGTTTAAAAATTAAATATTAAAGGGGTTCCCTCCAAACGTTGTTGAGTATGTGCAGTGACACTCCAAGCGTCCTCTGCCCAGTTACACAAAACTCCCCTGGGGCGGGTGAGTTAAATGAGCTTCAAGGACTTAATGCAATTGAAGGGAAAATACACACAAACTCACAACCCAATAAGTTGCCTTTCCGCAGCGAACACACTTGTACATATGTTTTTATGTGCATGTGTAAGTATTTCTAAAGTTAAGTTCCCAGAAAGGGAATTGCTAAAACACAGGGCATACACATTTAAAATGTGGATAGATGTTGCCCAATATCCTTCCAGGTATGTTGTGGCAATATCCTTTCCCCCCTGGGTAGTGTATAGATATATCCATTCAGAGGAGCTTTAAAATAGTCCAATAGAATTTTTTTTTCCTTAAGATTCATACTCAGAGGAAAGATCACAAAACACTGTCCTCAGTCCTGTACCGTGGAGTCTGTGAGCTGTTCATGAGCTATAATAGCTGTTTTATTGGTGAACTCTTCAAGGTCAGGGTCTTGGCTGCCCTCTCTGTTGATGGGCCCAGAATAAAATACACATGTACGCTAATAGATAACAGTTCTTCCATTGTCTCCGAAGCTGAATGCTTTAGACAATTATGGTGAGGCCAGTGACAAGATAAAATATGAGAGGTTAGGCTGGAGACCCCGGTCTTTTACTTACTGTGTGCCTCAGTGAGATTGGCAGGACTAGAAGTGGACCGGGAAATCCACTGGGTTTGGCCACTGTAGCCTGTGCCCTTCAGGCTCCAGGGCACCCCCAGCACAGAAAGGTACAGGAGGAGGGGTGAGAACCACGAGTTTTTCCAGTCCAAGGTTCTGAGTGAGAGACACTCCAGAGTGCCTTTTCCTGCCAGAAAGCCTTTCTACTAACTCTTTAGAGTTAATAAACATAACTACTGTTTAAAAAGTGGCGACCTTCAGCCCTGTTGGAGGTCCTGATGTACAAGCCTAGATATTACGGGTTGAATTATGCCATCCTCCCCCCCCCGAAAAAATAGGATAGAGTTTTAACCCCTCGTACCTCAGAATATCCACTAATTTGGAGATAGGGTCTTTACAGAAGGAGTCAAGTTAAAATGAGGTCATGAGGGTGTGTCCAAATCCAGTATCATTGGCGTTGTCATCAAAGGGGGAAATTTAGGGGCATCTGGGAAACTCAGTTAAGCATCTGCCTTCGACTCAGGTCATGATCTCGGGGTCCTGGGATTGACCCCCATGTCGGGCTCTCTGCTCAGCAGCAAGTCTGCTTTTCCCTCTCACTTTCCCTCTGTGATCTCTCTCACTCTCTCTCTCAGATAAATAAATCTTTAAAAAGGGAGGGGGGATTTAGCTGTGGAGGCAGACACACACAGGGAGAACACCTGGGTAAATATGAAGTCAGGGATCAGAGTGATGCATCCACAAGCCAAGAGCACCATCAAACCACCAGAAACAAGGAGAGAAGCAGGGAACAGCCTCCCTCTCAGCCCTCAGAGGAAACCGATACTGCCAACCCCTCGGTCTCAGACTTCCAGCCTCCAGAACTGTGAGAAAATAAACTTCTGTTGTTTTAGCCACCCAACTGATGGTACTAGGTTAACAACAGCCCCAGCATGGCATATACCCATCTATGTTCTCATGTTTCATATACTTTTACATAATCATATTTCACATGCTCATGTGCTCAAAATTGAGCAGTCCTTGCTGAGGGGCTTCTTTAGACTCTACACAGTAGAGTCCTTTTATTTTTTCCCATTCATACATGGAATTCCAATCATCAGTCAACCCAATCACCCCCAAATAGTTTTCTTAACTATACCATAATTCACTTTGACACTTAACAAACCCTTTAAAAGTAGACTGTAATCTTGCTTCATCTACTTTAGCCCCTCACTATTGTTCTTAAAAATTTGACTGGGAATACCAGCTTGCAAAGTGAGAAAGGTAGAATGTACTTTTGTTTTTTATCCTTTCTTTAGAATAAGGGTTAGCCAACTATAGACTATGGGCCAAATCCAGCCTACTGTCTGTTTTTGTAAATAAGGTTTTATTGGAACCCAGCCACACACACACAATCATTTACCTATCGTGTAGGGTTGATTTCATGCTACAAAAGCAGAGTTGGGTAGTTATGACACAGACCTTATGACTCACAAGCCTAAAATATTTACTATCTGACCTTTAGGGAAAAGTTTGCTGGCTCCTTCTTTAGACAATTAGTTTTCAGTAGGTGAGTCACAGAATGAGTGAGACAAATTGAAATCATAGACATTTCTTGTCTTAGGGATAAAATGTTAGGACTAAGACTGACTATGTTTGAAAAACAGAGTACTTGGGGAGTTGGAAGGGTGTCATCCCAGTCTGATCTCGCAGAATTAGAGTTAGGTGGCCAATGGTTGTTGAGTATGTACAGTGACACTTGGCAAGGAGAACAGTGGGCTTCCTCAAGCCCAGATCTAAGGTCCCACAGTCATTTTAAGAACACTTGCAACTCGGGGCACCTGGGTGGCTCAGTCAGTTAAGTGTCTAACTCTTGATTTCAGCTCAGGTCATGATCTCAGGGCTGTGAGATCAAGCCCTTTGTTGGGCTTGTGCTGGGCATGGAACCTGCTTAAGATTCTCTCTCTTCCTCTGGCCCCACCCCTGCTCACACACTTTGTGTGTGTGTGTGTGTGTGCGCGTGAGTGCGCACACGCGTGCACACTTTCTCTCTCTCTAAAAACAACAACAACAACAACAACAAATGCTCATTCATTTAGTTCCATGTCCTGGCTCATGAGAGGGCCTACCATTTTTTATGCTAATTGTATTAGTTCTCTATTCCTATAACAAATTACCACACACCTAGTGGCTTAAAACAACACAAATTCATCTTATAGCTCTATAGGTCCAAAGACTGGAATGGGTCTCCAGATTAAAATCGAAATGTCCACAGGCCACATTCGTTTCTGGAGGCTCTAGGATGGGTCTGGTTGCAGGATCAGTTCCTTGTGGTCATAAGACCGAGGTCCCCTTCTTTTGCTGGCTGTCAGCAAAGGGTCATTGCCAGTCCTTAGAGGCCACTGCATTCTTTGGTTCATGGCCCCTCCCTTCGTCTTCAGAGCCAGTAACTACAGATGAAATCTTCACACTTTGAGTGGCTCTGACCTCATCTTCTACCTCCTCCTCACTGTTAAAGATTTGTGATTCGATTGGATAAACCATAATAATAATAATAATAATCCAGGATAATCTCCCTGTTTTCCTATCAGCTGATAAATAATCTTGATTCTGTCTGCAACACTAATTCCCTTTTGCCACCAAAGGTAACATAGTCCCACCTTCCAGGGATTAGAATGTGATAGACATCTTGAGGTGGGAGCGTCAGCACACTAATACTAGAGTTCAGTAAATACTGCTATTCTCCGAAAGTCAGAATCAGTTGGCTTTACTTTTCTCAGGTTCTGTAATAGGCTTTCTAAACTGATTTCAATTTCTGTAACCTGTGGCTTTTAACTGATTTTCTTAAATTTGAAGCACATTCTCATTCACATGCTCTTATCTCCAGAAGAAAATGAGTGTTGCCATACTGTGTTTCCCTTCATGTAAGAAAATACCAAGTTATTTAATGGTTTTTACCCAATACAGAAATAGTTGTGTTGTTCTATTTTGCTCTTTTCTGATCACTAAATTAATTCAATTACTTTAAAGATTTAAACAGTTTGGAAAGAGTAAATTATATAAGTATACACGTTATAAGTAATATATATACGTTATATATGGAGATTTCTTAAAAATGATATTATACCACACACAGTATTTTGCAATTTCCTTTTTTATTTAATATACATATATATATACATAAAGTGTACTTTATATATGCACATATATTAGGGAAACCTTTCCTATGTCATGGATACTGAAATATATTCTCATTTTTAATAGCTGCCTTTATGGAAATAACTAAATTATTCACTTAGTCTTACTGATGAGCATTTAGGTTATTTATAGTTTTTTGCTAGTGTGAATAATAAGCATCCTTTTGGGTACTTGATTGTGTCCTTAGGAAAATTTCTGCATTGCAAAATGAAGAATATGCACATTTGTAAGGCTTTGGGATTTGTTGCAATTTATTGAAATAATCACAAAAAAGTTTATAGCTACTCATTTATAGTAGTGGCCACGTATCAGAGAGCTCATGTGTCACCATTTGTTTTTCCTAGACAGACAATGGAACGCGTCACATTGCAGAACCAGCTCCAGCAACTTCTGGAAGCCCAGAAATCAGAGTCACTCCTTTCTTCACCCAGGTAATACCAAGAACATGGGTTCTTAGAGTTCTTAGTTATTTTTAATCTCTGAGCCTTCTTTTGGACCTCTAGGAAAAATATCTTTAAGGAGACCACAATATTTTATTTTTGTAAAGAGGAATAAAAGTGAGACATTTCAGGGGCAAAAGGCCTTGGGGCTAAAGTCAGAAGACCTGGGTTCATCTCTGGCTCTGTCATTTCTTCTTTCCCCGATTGTAAGCAAATCTCGTACTCTTTCGGACTCCTTCATTTCTTCATCTGTGAAATGGAAATAAGGATATGTAGACTTGTAAGGTTGTTGAAGATGAGAATAATAGAATTAGAGCAAAACTGATGTGTAAACAGTAAAACAGTAGACACATTTATATTGTCATGGCATTAGGTATGAGGCACTATACTTTGGTCATAGTTGCCACTATGGAGATTGATTTGCACAGACATTAAGGGATTATTCTTATTCCAGTCCTGTCGATTTGTTGTAAGTTGTTCATGGCAGTGAAGGAAATCAGTGATAGAAAATCCCCTCATATGTTCTTCATCATCTTTCAGTTCACCATCTTCCCCAGCTTCCAGAAGGTCCCAGTGGAAATCTCCAGATGTGGACGATGAGTCTGTAGCCAAAAGCAAACCTGGAGTCCAAGAGGGGCTTCAGGTTCTTGGAAGCCTGTCGTCATCCAGCCGGGCCAGGGCCAAAGGGAAAGATGAAGATTCTGACAAAATCCTACGCCAGTTACTGGGAAAAGATATCTCAGAGAGCGTCTGCACCCAGGAAAAGCTGTCCTTGGAATTCCAGGATGCTCAGGCTTCCTCTAGAAACTCCAAGAAGATCCCTGCGGAGAAGAGGGAACTCAAGTTAGCTCGGCTGAGGCAGCTGATGCAGCGGTCCCTGAGTGAGTCCGACACGGATTCCAACACCTCTGAGGACCCCAAGAGCACACCTGTGAGGAGGCCTGACAGGCCCCGGCCACAGCCCATCGTGGGAAGTGTGGAGAGTGTGGACAGCGCAGAAAGCTTACACCTGATGATAAAGAAACACACCTTGGCATCGGGACGTAGGTTTCCTTTTGGCATCAAGGCCTCCAAATCTCTGGATGGCCATAGCCCATCTCCCACCTCAGAGAGCAGCGAACCTGACTTGGAATCCCAGTGTCCCGGCTCAGGGACCACTCCCCCAAGCCAGCCCTCTGGAGACCCTGCTCAGCCCAGCCCCGACGGCACCGCCGCCCAGAAAGTGGCCATGAGCCCCAAGAGTGCCCTCAAGTCTCCATCTTCCAAGCGCCGGACCTCCCAGAACTTGAAACTCAGAGTTACCTTTGAGGAGCCTGTGGTACAGATGGAGCAAACTAGCCCTGAGCTAAATGGGGAGAAGGACAGAGATAAAGGCAGGCCCCTCCAGAGGGCCTCCACGAGTAGTGAATCAGGGGACCAACTGAAAAGGCCTTTTGGAACCTTCCGGTCTATCATGGAGACACTCAGCGGCAACCAGAACAATAATAATAACTACCAGGCAGCCAACCAGCTGAAGACGTCCACACTGCCCTTAACCTCACTTGGAAGGAAGACAACAGACGCCAAGGGAAATCCCATGAGCTCTGCTAGCAAAGGAAAGAATAAGGCGGTGAGTGCTATTTGGAGACTATCCCTTTTTTGCCTTTGAATTCACTGGGCTGTTCCTCACACTACAGATTGGTGACCTTTGCCACCACGAGGGAATCCCCAGAAAAAGTCCAAAGGGATACACGGGAAGCCCAATCCATGTGTTTTCTAATGAGATATTTCACATTGGAGTATAGACACTTTGCTCTTCCTTTGGAAAATAAGAGAGAAAGATTAAATACATCACAGGGTATTATACGCCGGTCCCCCAGGTGCCCTAAATAGTTTGCTCCCTGAGTGTTAGGAGTCCTGAACTGGGAGGCATTTCTACAAGATCAGACCACCAACTGATGTGAAATCAGGCCCTTCCTTGGCACTGACTCTTCCTCAGGAAGAATTTGTTCTCCTTAGATGACTGGCTAGTTTATTCTCAAGCCCAATGAAAGAGCACATAAATACTCTATTTTTAAAGACTTAACCACTCAACTTTGGAATGACCTTTAAAATGAATACACCCACAGGGACCTCCACATTGGCATTTTACAACACAAACCAGTAAGTGTTAATCAGGATAATGCTGGGGCAGTCTGGAGTGCTCGGTACATGAGGGATGGCGGAGTGTGCCATGAACTACATTTTATAATTGCATTTCCTGGAAAACCATGCACTGTAATCTGTGGTTTAAAACCAGTGACTAAGAGATAGGAACATCTTTTTAGGCGATGTTTGCCGTGTGCTCTGTACATGCCGTGCCATCCCCCAAAAATGGGTATAGCATCCAAAATGTGAAACTCTAAGGAATGGAAGGATGCAGAATATCCATCCTGCAATCTAGAGTCCCAACCTGTGTAATTGATTATTGGCCATAAGGTGAAATTCCATTACGGTGAGGTTTAAGACCCGTCCAGATTCCTTTTGCAATACTGAAATCGAGTTTCCATTAATATCTCTCTAATTAATTGAACGCCAGTTTTAACTATACATTGATTTCCAACGTGAATTGTCTTTGTCTTAAAGGACTTCCGTGTTGTATGTATTTCAGCTAGAAGAGTCACCCCCCTGCCCCAAACCCCAGCCCCTTTGGGTTTCACACGGCCAGCCTTACCTTGCTCAAATAAGACTTTCCCAAGTCACTTACTGGGTTCTGTCACTCAGGAGTGAAAGAATGATCTCTGCAGCTCCCCATGCTCCTTAAAGTAGGTATGAAGCTTCTGTCCACTAAACTGCCTCCTGCATGCCTCCTGTTGATTGAGACATGTGCATGTGCCGAGCTTTGTTGCATGTTTTCAGATGATGTTTAATTGCACCTCTCTAGGAGATGTACGGCAGCTGCATCACCCTTTCTTCTAACTTGCTGACCGAAGAGCCTCTGCGTAACCATGCACGGTACGTGGTGCTAGCCAGCGGGTCCCTCGCGCAGTGAGGCCATGCCTTTGCTTCCAGTAGCATGAGCATTTAAGCCACAGTCCCAGAGCACCCTTAGCAGGAGCTGATACCAAGAAAGAAGAAAATGACACCTTCCCCTCACACACACACACACACACACACACCCCAACAGAAGCAGCCAAGCTTATAACGGGGCTTTAGAAAGGGATCAGGTGCCTGATTGGCAGGGCTTTATTCCAGCCGCAGAGGGCAGAGGAATCTACTCACCTTACAAACATGCTGAGTCTCCCGGTTGACTTTGGCTTTCAGTCTTTGTTTTAATGGAGTCAAGTACCAAGTAAGTATAGAAATTAAATTTCCTGTCACGGGTGGACGGAGTCAATCTCTGATCAGAATCAGAGCTGTGAAGGAGAGCTGAGGTTTTATTTCATTGCTTATCCTAGACTGAAAGCGCCTTTCATCACTGTGCTGGGGAGAAGCAAGGCCCTGCCATTCAGAAATTGCTCTTGCTTAACACTCAGAACCCCAGTGCCCAGCGGTCAGCCCGTCTGTGTGTGCCCACCAGTCACACGCGGGGCTTTCCCAAACAAAATGTTTATGCTTCAAAATGCATGGACTGTGTCCAGAAAAGGATCGTCTTCGAAGGTCCCCAGTGGCTCAGGCACCTCTCGGGGCAAAGTCCTTCTGCATCGGGCTTTCTTTCCTCCATGGGGAATGTGCATAACTCCCACTCCTGGAGGAAGCAGGAAACGGGGGGAGTGAAAGGAGAGCCGTGGAGGGTGACTTCCTACACTTGGTGCCGGTGACTGGCTTCTTTCAGAAGAAAGCCCCAAATTCATGTTAAGGGAGGCTGTCACTTTTAAATCATTTAAACTTGCTTTAATATAATTATTTAAATTAAAAGAAAAATATGTTACGCCTTGCAGCACCCTTCCAAAATCCTCTGCACTGTTTTGTGAATGTGCGTCTGTTTCTATATAATGATAAACACACCCAAATAAGAGTGTATGTGTTGTGAGTATAAATTTTTAGGTCAGAATACTAAGGTGCAAGAAACGTCCTTTTCTTGACCCTTTAAATCAAATTTAATCTGCTCCAGGTCTCTGGTCAGCCCAGAGGAGAAGTAAATCTCAGGCATTTCGGGGAGTGCCCCTAGGGGTCTCATTAATTCAGTACATTGAAGGAAGCACCTTGGAGCTTAGGTATTTACTGGTCACCAGCATTCAACTTGGGTCAGGCTCACACGGTGCCTGAGTCTGGGCTGCTTCCGGCCACCCTGGGGCAGGGAATCTCAGCCAGTTCTTCGAACCCAAGGCCTGGGGTAGGAAGGAAATAGAAGGAAAAAAAAATGTGCATTCCCCTCCCAGACATTGGTACTGGACCCCCTCTGTTCCTCCCAACCCACCTCCCCATCCCCATACCCTTCTCAGTCCCAGGTGAGGTTGGGTGTGTCTTCTGGTACCTGGAAAATTCTGCTCCTGTCCTTAAACAGAAGTCACCAACTTCTGTTTAAGAAGGCAGGAAAGGCAGCACAAAGACTTGAGAAACTCTTGGGAGGGAGAAGGAGAAACACCTCTCATCTCTCGAAGGTTCCTGCAGTACCTGGAAACAAGACAGTTAGTATCACAGTGGATTGTTCTGCCAGAAATATTTCATCCTGTCTTTTTACAAGCAAAGGAAGAAAGCTGAACAATTTTCTATAATATAATTACAAAAGTCAGAGCACCAGATGAGGTTTTGGGGCTCCTGAGCTATCCGACTCTAGGTTAACTCTTTCCTACTCAGTTGAGGGAACAATCCTTCTGAAGGCTCAGTTTTGAACCTCAGAGTCACTGGGTTTACATATTAACAGAGTTTGATTTCAGCGATAAACTAGAAACCCAAAAATAAAAATACTTAGTGTATTTAAATAAGCATCTTGACCACCCTTCCCCTCCCTACCTTATAAATTAACCTCTACTTTATCATGGTTTCCGTTTAGCGTGTGTTCCACAGAAAGTGAGAAGTCCCTCGTTGGCTCACACTGGAGAGGGGAGGTTTCTCGGATTCACTCATAATGACACAGAGGCAGAGAGAACATGGCCAAGTTCACTCCTTAGATAAAATAAGGGTGGACAGCTATAGTGGAAATGAAGATTCCTCAGAGAAATTAACACCAGCATGAGATTGTGGGCATGAAAAACACCTAATTGACTAATGCTTGCTTCGTTTTGCCTGAGGGACCCATTGAAGGAACATCCCACAGAAAGATACAATATAGAAAGGAACCCAAGTGTTCATCCCTCAGTGATGCCTTCAAATCTTGGCCCAAGAATTTGCTTGAAAGCTAAATGGCTCCCCTCGGGTAGCAGCGATTCCCCAGGCTTATATAACTTCGGAATCCAATGGCAGTCATTGGGTTGAGGTTGGTTCCAAATATTAATGCCACCGAATTACCCTATCGCTATGGCCCTAGGAGAAAGAGTGGGTCCCCAGAACCTAGTTGCAGACATATGCTGGAGTCACATTTTAGTTCCTAAGAAATGTTTATTTTTCCTGGGAAAATATGGGCAGTAAATACATTTGAAAGAACATCACCTCTGTGTGGGGGTTCTGTTTGCTATTTATTTTCCTAAATTGGTCACAGCTTGATAGCAAAGAATCTAAATTTCTTTTCAATGCCCTTTAAAATTAGATTGGACTCCATTACTCTGGACAGCTTTCCCGGAGTGTTTCCACAGCCCACGATGACTTTGTTTATAACAAGCAGATTTATCTTTACTTTTTCTTATCAAGGACAAGTTGGTTTTGAGTTATTACAACTCCAAGGGAATGTTTGCAATTACTTGTCTTAAAACGCCAATAAGACATTCATTTCCCAGAGTTTAAGTCTAAGTGAGACCTGGGACACATGACGTGAGCTTTGCGTCCAGCTAGCTAGAGGCAGAGGGTATCATCCTCTGGCCACCACCACTCACACCCTCTGTGACCACAGTGCCACTGTGGTCTGAAACCCTCATCCTAGCCCCAACACCAGAGCAGACGGCTTCAAAACACATTAAGTAATAAACACCATTAGTGTGGGTTTTACTGCCAAGGAATTAGCCACACAGGAAATGATAACATGCAGGGCCAAGAGCTCTGGTATCCGATATTTTGCATAGATGTCAAGGATGTTCACTAACCACTTCAACAGGGGTCGTATGTTTGGCCTAAGATGATGTGAGGTGTGGTAGTCACCTGCTGGGCCCAGTAGGAGGTCAGAGTTGAGGGTGCCCACCCCCACCAGCACACACACACACACGCACACACACACATTATGTCCTTACTGTCAGGATATCATGCTAATCAGAAAAATGATCAAAGATATGGAAGCCATTGGAAAAGTAGAGGTGAGGCCCTGGCAGAAAGCTGTCTCCCAAGTACAATGTGTTACCCTCAGCCCCACTGATGAGCACTTCCAGACTCATGATGGAAAAATCCAGTCGGTGCCAAAAAGGAGCCCCCAGTCTTGCTGAACAAAGGCATCCTCACCGTCATTTCTCTGGATATGAGAAAATAACCACATTCTAATCTTGTCTTTAATTTTTTACCTTAAAGTATCTATTTTTTAACCCATATGCTGTTTAAGAATCCTTGAAGGGATGTGTCTGTAAT